CTTCAATGAACTTACTTTGATAAAGACAAATTCTCCAACTTCAAACTACTCTGGTATGTGCTTAGCATTATAATATTTCCTCTGAATATCTTGCACTACTCTTAATCTGTCTTGAATTAGTCTAATCTTCTTAATAGCAATATCAGCCAAGTTAGCTCTAATGACTTTTCTTTCATCTGCTTTAGCCCAACATAAAGGTATCATGCACTTCCTTCCATACAAAGCTTCATATGGAGTCATTTCAATAATAGCTTAATAATTGTTATTGTAAGTGAAATTCTACTAAAGGTGCACCTGATTCCTATCCATTATCAAAGTCAAGGACAAAGCATTAGTAAATCCTTCAAAATTTGAATAATCCTTTCTGACTGGTCATCTGTTGGGTGAAAGGTTGTACTGAAAGTCAATATGGTGCCCAAAAACTTCATGAATCTTCTTCATCAATCTGGAAGTAAATCTATCATCTCTATCGGAGACAATAGACTTTAGTACTCTATGTAACCTTATAATTTGATCCAGTACTCTATGTAACCTTATAATTTGATCCACATACAACTTTGGCTAATTTCTCAATTGGATTTGTATGTCTAATGGGCGAAACATGGGCGGACTTAGTCAATCTATCAACAATTACTCAAATAACATCACGATTCTGATGTAATCTAGGCAATCTAATCACAAAATTCATAGCAAGCTCCTCTCATTTCCACTCTAGAATCGGTAAAAGCTACAACTGACTTTCAGGATGCTGATGTTTTGCATTTACAAGCTCATTTACTAGTTGACATGGAAGACACCTAGCCACAAATTCTGTCAAACTCTTCAACCATGGCCACCAAAATGTTTCCTTGAGATCCTAATACATTTTATTACTCTCTGGGTGAATAATATAACAAGACAAATGTGCTTCCTCTAGAATCTCCTGCCTCAAACTATTAACATCTATAACATAAACTCTGCCTTTATATTTTAATAAACTATCATGATCTAACACAAACTTCGCCAAATTGTACCTTAAGTTGCTCCTGGATTTTTTAAATATTCCTATCTTTGGTTAATGAATCCTCGATTCTGCTTTTTAAAGTAGAATGCACAATCAACAAATTGAATAGAACCATACTGTCATCATTATAATTAATTATTGATAGCTTCAATTTCTCCAAAACTCTAAGTAATTGCTCTTGCTAAGTAAATAAACGGTTCAAATTACTTGAAGAATTTTTACTCAGCATATCTACAGCCATATTTGTCTTTCTTAGATGATACAGAATATCCAAATCATAGTGTTTAATAAACTTCACCCATCTCTGTCTCAAATTCAGCTCATTCCAAGTAAAGATGACTTCAAACTCTGGAGATCAGCAAATAACCTCATTTAACTCAATACAAATAATGCCTACATATCTTAAGCACAAACATAACCGATGCAAGCTCAAAATCATGTGTGGGATAATTTCGTTCATAGTTAATGACCCTTTTCATGTTGCAAAAGTACACAACCCAAACTCTTCAAAAGATGCATAACTGAAAATTTGAAACTCATCTGAACATGAAGGAATAGTCAATATGATAATTCAAACTTCACTTCCTTCATAGTTAATATTGATAATGGCATAGCAATCTGTGAAAACCCCTCTACAAATCTTCTATAATAATCAGCCAAACCTAAAAAACTCATGACCTCAATAACAATAATAGGTTTTGATCAATCTGCAATCGTCAAGATTTTATTATGATCCACAAATATGTCATCTTCACTGATAATACACTCAAGAAAACCATACTTTTAAGCCAAATTAATATTTAGAAAATTTGGCATACAGTGTATACTTTTTCAAAACCTACAGAACAACATGCAAATGATCTGTATGATTGGCTTCATCTCTAGAATACATCAAGAAATCGTCTATAAAGACAATCACAAATGTATCCAAAAACTGCCTGAAGATCATGTACATCATATCCATAAAAATCACTAGAGCATTAACAAAACCAAATGGCATTACCACAAATTTTTAGTGCCCACGTTTGGTCCTGAAAGCCATCTTCGTTATGTCTTCCTCTTTAATCCTCGATCGGTGATAGTCTGACCTTAGATCAATCTTTGAAAATACAAAATCCTCTTACAATTGATCAAACAAGCCATCAATCATCAGCAGTAAATATTTATTTTTAATTGTAAGTTTATTCAACTCCCTGTAGTCAATACGCATTATGAAACTCTCATCATTCTTCTTCACGAATGATACTGAAGCTTCCCAAAGTGAGGTACTAGGTCTGATGAATCCCTTATCTAGTAACTCCTACAATTAACTCTTCAACTCCTATAACTCAATTGTCATTCTCTATGGAGTTTCGAATGCAGGCTCAGAACTTGACAATAGCTCAATAGTGAAATTAATCTCCCGCACTGGTGGTAACCTTGGTAAATCATCAAAAAAAAAAAAATTTGGATATTCTCTTACTGCTGAAATATTACCCAAAGACTTTAATTATTTAAAGGTATTTGTTACCTGAGCAAGAAAATCTTGTTTCCCATGATTCAACAATTTGAAAGCTTTCAGAAATGTAATTATCATGGATGACAATCCTTTATCACCAGAAGAATTTAACTTCTGTCTCCCAAGGTATAGTAATTTTGAAGAAATTTTTATTGCAATCAATTGTGAGAACATTTTTAAACAATCATTCCATGCCTAAAATCACCTCAAACTCCACCAAGGGTAACACAATAAGTTGTGCATCAAAATGTTTTCCACCAATCATTAAATTCACCTCACAAGACTGATTAACATCCGTAAAAGTATCATTTGACATTCTAATTGATAATATCACAGGCATTAAGATGATGTTCAATTGCATCTCTTTAACTGATTCCTCAACTAATGTGATGCTCCCGAATCAAATAATAATTTTATTAGTCTATTCTGAAGATAAAAGATACCTACCATTAAAATCATTGCATTGAACATTTAGGGTTGACTTATTCCTATCTTTAAGTTCTTCAATTGCGTTATGAATAGCATGACATGGCATAACATGAATTCTATTATGATTAAGGATGTATTTGGTTAAAATTTATTAAATGTAAAATATACCTATGATAACTTTAGAGGAGTCATTAGCTTCCTGTTGTGACAATGCATAAACCCTGGGATGGATATTCTGCTAGGTTTGACTCGTACTACGTTATCAAACAATCACCCTATACCAACTGGATAAATTTATCATGCATATGTCCCCTGACTAATAGTGGTACGAATCAATCTTTAAAAGTCTTCACAAACTCGTACCACCGTATCATGTGGTTATTTATACCACCAAATTTCTCTTACAATTGTCCTCGCCACCATCTCTCAGCTTCACCTCTAAGGCAAAAGTGGCAAGTGTAGCTCTCATATCAAGTGGACAAGACATTCCACCTAGAATCTTTTCCATCCAGCAGCCAATTCTCAGCATTTATTGGATTTCCTCTAGAAAATATAGGTGACCACATATCCTAAAATAACTTCAAACACTTGTCTATTGAGCCTCCCCCACTAGAACTGGCATGAGTCAGGGAGTTCTTAATCATTTGAGTCGCCACAGGCATCATCTCAATAAAAACATCTTTATTCACAGTAATTTGTGGATGTGCATTAAATTTTACCACAACATATTAACTTCTCCTTAATTTTCCATATATCTTAAATACAATAAGAAAGATTATATTTAGACATAAATTAACCCCTCATTAATATTATTTATGAATTAATTTAATCAACCTAATGGCTATTTTTTATCATGATCCAACCTAATCTATCTAATATCACTTTTTTCACGACTCAGCCTGATGGTTTAGAATTAGTATTAACATTTAATTAACTTTCTACATATTTTCAGAACTTCCAATTTATAAAAGAGCTACTAAGAAACTACAAATACACTAATAGAAAATTTAAATCCAAAATAACAACATAGTTTGCAAGTAAAACATCTAAATCCATACAACATTATCTCTACACAAAAAGTAAACATTACAAAAAAACTACAATCACATAATAATATGGTAACTACCAGCTATAATCCTCCTCCTATAAACTAACATCATTTTGCCAGACATATTAATTTACAATTTTTCTTTTCCTAAAAGAAATAATTAAATTCAACAGTAAATTTTCACAATATAGAAAGTAAATATAATCTTATTATGCATTAAATTCATATGCAAATGTTATGCATAAATACTAAAAGAAATGTAGTTCATTACTTAATCAAACAATAAGCTTTCCTATTAGATTTAACATTTCTCATTGTAATTCAAGCATTTAACATTTTTAACCGCTCAAAAAAATCATATCAAAATTATCATCACACCTGAAGGTATCCTCAAAATTGTACTTATAGGTACTCTAAAAAATTTGCACCCGAAGGTACACGTTTACCATTTTCTTTCTCGTGCACGGGTATATTGAATCCCCTGTCAGTACCATCTGGAGATAATTTTCTATAACTTAAGGTTTTATATTTCATCTCCTTTACATTACCTCTTTTTAAAAATATTGAACAATCAATTTCATTTATCATTTCATTCATTATAATGATTGTTTCGTTTTACCACATGCATATAATTATTAAAATAGATATCTGAAACAATAATGGAAGTCTTTATTAAATAAAACATTAATTTAATAAATACAAAAAAGTAATTACCCACCTACCTTTGCTTGCTTGTCTCGCCGACTCCCTAACTCCTAATCTTTTAGGTTTAAATGTTCTTCAACTTTAATTGATGTTATAAATTAATATTTTTATTAAATATTAATTTTAAATTAAGTAAATTAAATTTTAAATTTAACTAAAACATTATTTATCTTTCAAAATGATTCATCGATCGATCTCCAAACTGAATCTCCCTTTAGTTGCTTCCTGATTTCAAATGCATTTATATTAACATTTAATGAATAATCTTAAATATATATAAAATTAATTAATTAAACTATAATATAAACCCATTTTACCTTACTAATCACCCGATTATCCTAACCAGCGCTTAAGCTCCCCCTTCCCGCATGCACGAGCTTCCCTTTTCGCGGTCTTTCCTTCCTCTGAACGTAAGTTCGGCTTGCACACACGCACGCACGCAAGGCCTCGCTCCTCCACTCTTCTCTTCTTCTTTCCGCATGCAACACAATGATGCGGATCCCGAATGCTAGCATTTGAAATAAATAAGCATAACAAAGCAAACAATTAAAAGAAAATAGAATAATAATTTATGAAAGATCAAAATGTCCACTGCAAGAGAGATATAACAAGTACTACAAATATTATCATTAAAAAACTAAATCTTAAGTAAAGTGATAAGGTTAACAGAATAATTACAATAGACAGTTCTTTAATTTAGGGTTACTTAATTTAAGTAATGGATGTAGAAAGGTACCGGGGCTTATTTCGTCCATCACTTGTATCCTTCAGAAGAATCAACCAGCTTCAAGCAACCTGTTACAAAGAGATAAGATTTTCAGACATGCAACAAATTTCATCAACTACTAGGAAAAATAGGCTTATCTCATTCAGCACAGGACGTACAATACAGGAAGCAAATTTGTGAGCAGCCATCAAAAACCTAATGTAAAGGTGGCAAGCATCATTAATAACTTGAAGCCCTCTGATTCCACCATTATTTAACAATTTCACCAATCAGAGCCATTACATCAATATCCCTACTGACGTATCTTTTCAAATGGCACAATAACAGTAAGTTAGATATCCACATTCTATAGAAATTTAACTGAGCTATACTCGATCAGATGGTGCAGCATCATCACTGGATCTGGGGATTATGCCCATCCTTCTCATGTCATTCTGTAGTTCCAACACCTCAGCCACATCACCTAATTGATTGTACTTCCTTATCAAACAATTGTAAACATCCTCATCCGGTTTAACTCCACAAGCGATCATATCGGAAAGCAGGTTCCTTGCCTCATGCATTTTTTGGTGATTACATAAGCCCCATATCAAAGAAGTGTAGGCATGCAAATCAAGCTCAAAACCACTTGCTAGCATTTTGTCTCTCAAGACAAAAGCTTCCTGTAGGTTCCCTCTCTTCAAATAACCATGCATCAGAGCTGTGTAAGCAACTTTATCTGGATCCATTCCATTGAGAACCATTTCTTCAAAGAGCTTAGTTGCTTCTTCTAAGCATTCACTTTTACAAAATCCATCAATGAGAGATGTGTAAGTTAATACATTAGGCTGCAAACCCATGTCTCTCATTTTGTTAAAATGATAGAAAGCTTCATGAATTAACTCTTGCTTGCATAACCCATCTACTAAGGCACCATATGTGACATTAGTCGGGGTGATGCCCAACTCTTGCATCTTGTGAAGAAAACTAAGAGCCTCTGAGTTATTTCCTGCCTTAAAATTAGCGTCCATAAGAGTAGTATAGATCACACTATTGGGTTTTAATCCACAGTTATCCATCTCATCGAGAAGGGCCTTGACATCGCTGAAATTTCCTTCAGTGCAGCGGCCCCAGATGGCAGTGCCATATGCTGATATATCAGGTTTGTAGCCTTTTTCTCTCATTTCAATCATCAGATTCACTGCTCTCTGCATGTTTTTGTTCTTGAAATGAGCATGGATAAGAGCTGTGTATGGTAGTTGGTTCATAGACACTCCAGACTTCACCAATCTCTGGAAAACTTCTTCAGCCTCCTTGAGCTTCCCATCTTTACATAGCCCGTCCACTAAAACGGTATAAGTAACAACATTTAACTTTACACCATCCTGCAACATTTCATCTAGTAAAATCTGTGCTTCCTTAAGGTTTCCGGTTTTACAATTCCCGTCAATAAGGCATGTATATGTAAACTCATTTGGTCTAAGTCCTCTCATCTTCATGTCAACAAAAAATTTGGCTGCCTCCTGCATCATATGTTCCTTACAGAAAGTATCAATGAAAGTACTGTAAGTAACAACATTGGGCCTCAACCCATTCCTCTTCATCTCATTGAGGTATGCAAAAGCACCATGTAGCCTCCCAAACTTGCAAAAACAATTAATGATTGAATTGTAGGTGATCAAGTCAGGACTGCAACCATTAACCTTCATATCTACAAGGAGTGATGCAGCCTCTTCAAGTTCCCCACATTTTCCATACCCATCAATCAATGAATTAAAAGTCACCACATCAGGACAGCAACCCCTCTCTTTCATCCTAAACAGCAGCTCTTTCGCACCGCTCATATCTCCTTCCTTGCACAAGAAATCAATCATGATATTATAAGTAAATATGCTAACAATGAAATCAGCAGAGAACAAATCATCAAAAAACTTCTTTGACAATTCCCCCTTGCCTACTTTCGTAAGCCTCTCCAGCAAATTGTTGCAAGATCTCAACTTGGGAAAAACTCGGATGTTCCACATCCTATAAAAGCACTCGTAGGCCTCCTCCAAAAGTCCCATATTAGTTAACACGCCAAAAAGTGTATCAAATAGCCCGGGATTAAAAGCGCATCCAGGATCGCCAAACTTCCTTCCGGCCACCAGAAGTACCTCAACTACACTCACAGATTCTGCTAACATGCTAGTCGAACTGACAAAGTCTTGAAGAACCTGCTGAGCTTCGGAGTACAATCTTCCGCTGAAGAGTATATGGGCAGTGACGCAGAAAGATTCAGCAGAGTGGAGGAATCCCGGTCGCTTCGAAGCCCAAATGAAAAATCTGAAAGCCAAGCGCGGGTCTTCCTTGAGCTCGATAAGAACTCTGGAGACCTTGACATGAGCGAGGGAGGAGGAGAATATGGACAAAAGGCGAGGGTCTTCCCAATGACCGGAGGTGGCTAGTGCGGCAAGGATTCTATGGTCTTCAGCTAAATACGATTGAGTGACTAGGCAACGAACACGGGTGAGAAAGAAGCTAACAACGGAGAGGTGGCGGGCGGGAAGGAGCATTCTCTTGGCTAGGAGCGGGATTTGACTGGAGCCATTGGAAAGGTTGGATTTTTAGATGGGGAAGAGGGGAAGCCGCTCTTCTTCCTCCATGAGAATGGAAGAAAGAAGGGGTTTGGACGGCCTAGGGTTCTTGTGCGCGTGTTTTAACCTAATGAACTTAAATTGTTTCTGATAAGTGTCTGATCAATTCAACAACATCAACTGACTAGCCATTGACGTCTTCCAGAGTTAAATTTATGTTGCCCAAAGCTGAAATCATCCAAAGGGCATCTCATCTAATGGAGTTCTTATTCGCACGCAACTATGTGTGCGGTGTCCAATGAAAGGATGACACCTAAATCAGTGGGCCCTAGAACTTAAAAAATTAAATTGAGTTGTGCGGACATCGCACGCAATTATGCGTGCGGTGTCCAATGAAAGGATGACACCTAGATCAGTGGGCCCTAGAACTTAAAAAATTAAATTGAGGCATGCTTGCGGCGCGACCCGGCCCGAATATGGCCCGAAACAGGTAAAAGTTAACAGCGCGCCTGAAAGAAAGTTTATTTCATCGGAAAACCAAACGACGCCCGAGCGAGGAGAGCACGGAGCACTAGCATTTTAGAGTTGTTGTTGGAAACCAAAGAGAGCCTAGTGAGAATGGAGACGGAAGAGCCCTTGATAATAGAAACCGAAGAGGAATCGACAATGTAGGCCAAGAAACCCAAGAAAAAAAAAGCCAGGTAATTTTTATTTTAGTGTTTTTGAGTTCTACACACGTGCACACAATATTACCTTTAAAAATCATCATTAAACAGCAATAAAACTTGCTATTTAATTATAATACAAAAGCAACCACTATTTAACAACACCTTAAATCTCAACTCAGTATTACAGAAACAATGTTATGATAATAACAGAATACAACGAAGAAATGACCAGAATATAACCTTAATTCTACATCAAAATATAACCTTAATAATAATAATACCCGAATACAACTGAAAAACTTCTATAATATAACCTAAGCACTAATTCTGAGTAACACTAGAATATAACGTTATCCTAAATAATATTACCTGAGTATCACAGAGATAATACTACAATAATAACATAATACAACAGAAAAACTACCAGAATATAACCTTAATACTACACCGGAATATAACCTTGATAATATTAATACCTGAATACAACGGAAAAACTTCTATAATATAACCATAATACTAAACCTAAGTATTAAACCTAAGTACCAAAAATACAACAAAAATACAACAGCAATACAACAGCAATACAATCAAAATATAACGGAAATACTAAATGTTAGAATACAACGTAATTATTACTATAATATAGCCTAAATAATACTATACGAAATCACATAATATTGCTTAAATATTACCATAGTATTCCCGTAATAAAACATTTCTACATAACCCCTTATATTTTTTGCATTATTTTGTTTGATGTAGGTTTGTGAACCCAAGGTCCATGAGTTGTAGATGTCGACCATCTGTAGTTAGAGATGCACTTGATAAGGTCAAGCCTGTTGTATCTGACGAGATGAGGAATGAGCTGAAAACCTTGAATGTTAATCAGTTCTTCGCATTTCCACCTTATCCCAAGACAATGTGGTCACACTTAAAATATTGCAATGTTGGATACATGAAAAATGGTTTTTAGACTGGGAGGGAAAGATCTGAGGATTAATCCTGATGAAGTTGTCATTTTGATTGGCATGCCAAATAGAGGAGAAGTTCCAAAGTGGAAGAAAGTTTCATCATGTGGTGCTGATGCCCGTCAAATGAAGGCTGATCTGTTGAACTTCGAAATTGGGGAGTCTTCTGCCCCTTTTAATCAATTGTATATAAACTATTTGTTGTCAAATTTATTTTTTCTGTCTTGTAATTTCAGTGTATCCAAAGGACTTTACATCTTTGGAGAGAATGTGAATATGTTTACTTCATTTAATTGGCCCACTGGGCTATGTAAATATCTTATTGAGCACATAAATGCGCTGGGATATATAAATGATTTTCTTTTTTTGCTAACGGTAAGTACATCGTATTAAAGTCAAATGCTATTTATTTCTTTGTGTAAAGCTGAATATGCCTTTTTTTCTGGTTTTATGAGCACACTTCTTTGATTACTCCTGCGAATCCTGAGGCTAGGCCTCGAATATTGAGGTGGCCGACAACTGTAAGCTTGAGTTGATCCCAACTTGATATAGCTTTTAAGATGCTGACTCCTAATCAGGCAAGTTACATATATCTTTAATTTCCAATTAAATTATTATGTTGTTTTGAAACTATTAATGATCAAAGCGTTTATTTTTTAAATTACTCCCAGGTTTATGATAAATTTTTGGATCTGAAAGAGGATGAGCTCAATCTGTTATCAAATCCAGATGAAGGATTACCTGGTCCAGTTCCGGTGACGGAAGTCCAAGGCAGACCAGAGGCACCTGTCTCATTTGATATGAGGTCAGTTGATTCAGAGGACATCGCCCCTAAGCCATTGTATACCACAATAAATAAAAGCATTAAATCAATAACCGAGCTGTTTAAAGGCCAAGAGAAATGGTTCACTGAATTTCAGGGAACCTTGAATACAATAACTGTTGGAGTGTCGAGTTTGCAGGGGCAAATGTCGGTGCTGCAACATAAATTTGATAAATCTGAAAATATTCCAACTAATAAAGGCGAAGAGATCGGAGTAGATGATCCCCAACCAGCCTCCCCTCGTGTGTGGAGTCCTCGTGATTTTGTTACCCAGCATTCAACTTCTGGTGATGTTACCCAGCATACATAAAGTTGAACGGTCTGTTGTCAGCTTAATACAAAGGGTTAAGCGTAGACGGAGCAGAAGAAAGAAGACAGTGAGTTCACCTTTCACTGCCTTCAAACTGAAGAGACGAAAAACAACAGGTGAAGTCGACGAGGCGATGATACCCGAGGAAGATGTTGTTGTACATACCACCACCATAGTAGAAGAACAACATATTACTAACGAACCAATAATAGACCCTGTAGCAGAGATGGGTCTTCAAATAATTGTATTTCCTGGTGTACATACGAACCCTAATGTAGAGGGACAACATAGAGTTAAAGATGAAGATGTAGAAGGATCACCTGTCATAGCACTAACAACTCAAGGAGATCAACCAGATGTTGTTAATGTGTTATTTGGAATTTGTTTTTGATACATTGTCTTATATCATCAAAATTACTTGTGTATTTCAGATGAGCAGGTGATGTGACATAATTTTTTTTTTCTTGTAGCCTCTTCCAGCTGTCCCCCAGATCGACTATCCCGACAGATCTATGGTATCAGCTGAAACACAAACGGTGATCGATAAAGTCATGACAAAATACATCAATGAGTGAGTGAATCTGTGTCTTTTATAATGAACTTCTTTTGGGATAAAGTGAATGAAGACAACTTCTTTATTATATTTGGAATTTGTAGTATTATGAAGGAGTGATATTATGTTGCACTTGAAAGACATTTTTATAGATCGTCGGACAATGATAGAGTTATTGTGTAATGACACGATTGCAAATGACCACGTCGACGCTCAAGCAATGATTTTAAACAATAAGAGGAATGCAAATCCATCTCTTTTTAGGTCTTACCTATATGTAGGTCTTACCTTTATGTATCACTACTATATTGGGTAAATCCGCATCTAAATATCTAAACACCCATATTTAATTATATTAAGAATTTCAACAACAATGTGAATGTGTTAACACTTTGTTTTATTATACAGGTTTATCATAAAATGGGTAACCCCACATCATTTCTGGGTCATATCACCAAATAAGCAATTTTGAAAGTTGATATCATTATGATTCCTGTTTTGAATAACCAACACTGGGTTTTATTGGTCGCTGATCTGGGTGAGGGGAAGTGAAAAATGTATGATTCATTACCCAACCAGATGCACAAAGCCGTGTGCAACGACGTTGTAAGTTAATCTCAATTGTTAAAGATATTATTTCTGCAATTTTCATCAGTTTAGTACAATCATAATAATATTATAATAAACCCATGATAAGACCTAAATAAGACCCAAATGATATCAGAAAAAATAATATCAACCACAATAATACCAGAAAGATAATACCATTACGACAACTTAAACACAATGATAACACTTACAAATTAACTTAGCAATCAAATAATCTAGTAATCACTCCATCCGAGCCCAACAATACTATCATTTGGAAGCCATTAATAGCAGCACACAAAACAAAGAAAGAACTCTACCTGAGGAATACTTCCGGACGCAGCTAATGATCCAAGCTGATCACCATCATTTTGTGATTCCATCAACATTTCTTGGTCGAATGAGAAATCCATTTAATGTGGTGTCGGCACAGAATAAGAACTCTGCCCTACCCGTCGACAGACGAGAAAACAAAAAAAATCTACATCCATAAGACACCAATAATCTTTGGCGGGATCGAAAATGTCGAAATGCTAGATTTGGCGGGATTTCATAAATCCAAATATATGCTTTTTCCGGTTATTGGGTGGAGTTCGGGTCGGGTCACGCATTTTGCTTGTTTCTCTTCACTGAGGGCCCACCATTACACGTGTTAATTTTTCATTTGCTACCGCATGTAGAGCACAAGCGGTCGGCGGGCAGAATTAATTTTCCATCCTAGGTCTAGAGAAAAAAAAACTGTCTTTTAAGCTTATCATCAATTTCACGTATAGTCATTTATATATGAAGTGAATGAAAAAATATTACATTAGGACCCCCCATCTAGAGTTACGTGTGGAGTTCAATGAAATCACGCCACACACGTGAATGTGGGGTGAGAAAAAAAAATCGGTCCGATAACACAGGAGAATATTCCTCCCATGCTATTCAGGTGTTATTGTGTGTTATTCAAGTATTATTGATATGTTATTGAGTTATTATAGCACCAGAAATATTCTCATAATACAAATTAATAACATATAATAATACATGAATAACACAGGAGGAATATTCCCCTGTATTACCTATGTTACCGGGAATATTTCTGATTTCATTGGACTCCGCACGTAACTCTACGTACGGAGTCCTGATGTAATATTTTTTTGAAGTGAATTCATGAAATAAATAGTGGAATTAATCAACTTACCCATGAAAATGTGCATGGCTTCGTTGTAACTCTCTTGAGGAATTCTTCAAGGAGGGAAACAATTATCACCCAA